TTGAGTGAGGCGTCGACGATTTATCCGGATGATTCGTTTAGTTTGGCTAATTTCCGACGGCGGTGATGGGGTCAAGGTAGGTAGGCGTTTTAGTTTGTAGACTTGCTACAAACATGGCATGTTCAATGGAGTCTCATTTTCAAGAATAGTTGAAAACGCAGTACGCGGTTCGTTCAAGATATGGTTGCCAACTTACAGCAAGGCACGAACATCACGAGCTTGGGAGAGTAGGCACATGATTTGATGAACAAGATTGAGTGAGCTATCTACCGTTGCAGTATTAAGGGTAGGAAACACAAAAGAAAGAGAAAGAAAAGCAAAAGCAAAACAAGACCGGCCCTTGCGCATTCTGGGGCATTCCTTTCCTCCTCCACTTCTCTCTCTCTCCTCTTCGTGACCACTTCCTGTCCGAGAAGGTAGAATCCCAATGTCCATGGCTATGCCCATAGCAATCATTTACTGGGGGACGACAAAGTCTTGTGTCCCCGAGATCAGCAAGGTATGGTCCACGGTCGCCGTGTCACAATTGTATCTGCCCACCTCGCCGGCACGTCTTCCATGAGATCCTATTGATCTCCGAAAGACATGGCTGTCGAGAAAAAGCCTGGGTAGAAGAAGAAACCTTGTGTTTGTCAAGGCGTGAAGAAGGTGTGTACTCTGACATCCAATTAGGGAAGGGGTTTTTTTGATGACGGGAGGTGCGAAACAAGACTGAAAGAAAAAGAGCAAATGGAAAGCCAGTGAAGAGCTCTCGGACGCGGAAGTCGTGTGCGCGTTGCTGTCAGATGCCGATATGAAGCTGCCAAGTGAAGCTGCTAGTTCGGATCATTGTTGCAAAGCCACGAGACGTCGGTGTCCAATGGTTTCTTCTTGACTTCGAAGACGGGTCGTGCAATAGGGGAAATTCGGGAATTGTTTTTGGCAATCTGCTGAGTTTGGCTCTGTTTCGGTGACTGATTCTGTCTCTTAAAATGTCAGCTTGGACTGGTCTCGTAAAGCTAAGTGCCGTTAACTACTAACCTCCAAAAGTGCCATTATCGATCGAAACAACCAACATTGGGTCTTCGTTCGATTGTGATCAGTCTGCAGGAAGCCACTGATACTTGAGCGCATGATGTCAGGATGTGGCCTTGGTCAGCAATGCTTAGGCTCCGAAGACATCGTCGCTGTCGCTGTCATGGCTACCACCGTCGTGCTGCTGATCCTCGGGAGCATCGGGAGACTTGGCTCTTCGGGCACCAGGCGAATGGCGCTTTCCAGGGTAGTCGTAGGAGCACTCGGAGTCGTCTGCCACGTAGAAAGTTTTGCAGGGGATCTTGTTGGCCCAGTGCTGCCAGATGACCTGGTCGTACCAATCGGCGCCGTGGGGTTGCTTCACCTTGTAAACCTGGTTCAGACGACCGGCCTTTTCGAACTGGAAAGACGACATGAAGTCGTCCATCCACTTGAGGCCCTGTCCGCCCTCGCTCTGGGCCATCGTGTGTACAACAACACCTAGCAAAGCCCATTAGCTATCGAATCCGAGATACCTTTCACATCCGACTACTTACGATGAATGTTCCGGAAGTCGGGCTTGTAGAACGCGTCCTCTCCAGCTTTCGGATCAGCCCACTGGCACTCGACAAAGCCGTGGTACAAGATGGAAACTTGACTGAGGAGTTGATGAAGAAGGGCACTTCCGATTCGACCACGTCGATGCTCAGGATGAACAAAGATTGTAGCCTTGACAGTCGGGGTCGCGTTGCCGGTGAGTCCTCCAATACCTGTCTCGTACGGACGGAGGTAGGCGAATCCGTAGACAGTAGTCTCAGGGGACGACACCTTCACAGGCTGAGACTGCATCCATTTCATGTACTGTCGGTAAGCATCGCGAGACGGCCAGTTGCCGGGGTCTTTCAAGTCGGTCGTCTTAGTTGTCGCAACGATGAATGGAAGCTTTTGTCTCTTGCACTCGATCATGATGTACTCGAATCGCTCAACAGACACCGGGTAGGTATCTGTGACCAGAGGATCCTTACCGACAGCCAGGTTGTACATCTCGGCACAAGCTCCGGCATCTGAAGGCTGAGCAGGACGAAGGACGCAGTCTGCTAGACGGCTGCTTTCGTCCAAGGTAGGCGCCACTACGGTTTTCATCTTCGTGGGCGACGCAGCATCTTTCTTGTAGTCACGATCCCGAAGAATGGCCATTTCGTGGTGGGCCCGCTCCTCCTCCTGCAAGCGTTGACGAATGGCGATGTTCTGTCGAACCATGATCTCGCGATGAACGAGCAGGTTACTGGTCCATTCACGGCGACGTTGAATCATCTCGGGTGTCATGTTCTTCTCGTCCATAATGTCGGCTTTTGTGGGCGGCTGCTCGATGCGGTCGATGAGCTTTCCAGTGTCGGTGCTGACATCGTGGTGGTGATGATCCTGATTCTCGTCGAGGAAGGAAGTGACGAGCGGGCCATCCAGAGTATAAAGCCAAGTTATAAAAGATGGCGTGCCAGTGACTTTCGTCTCGGATCGAGCGACTCCGTTGGAATCCTCTCTGTCCTGACCCGATGAAGCTCTGCCATTGTTGCTCACATCCCAAGACGAGTGGCTCTTCTTCGATTTGGTAGTGACGCCCATTCTCTCCGGAAGATTCTCTAGAGCCATGGGTGTCAGGGGCGCGGACTTATTCAATGTGCCCGAAAGAGCAACGCGCGAGCTAGCATCATCTGTTGAAGACGCGGTATCCGACTCTGCGTAGTAGCTAGTAGTCGTGGCTGGCCCCTGACTTTCGGTAACTGGGTCTTCGATCTTGGACTCGACTTTTGCTCCAGCCTTGGCCTTGGTCTTGGCGAGTCTCTTATGAGGAGGAATGTAGTCGCTCGGCATCCGAAGGGTAGAGGCCATCGTATCGTTCTCGTCGTCGTCGGCGTCGGATTGGATCTTCGAACGCTGAGCAGCAATCTTTGCCTCTCTCTGCCTCCGGGTTCTCTCAAAACTTCTTGCAACGTAGGCTCGGCGCTCGGCGAGGTAATCGTAGTCAGCGTTCTCTAAGCCAGCATTGTAAATATCTCCACCGGGGGCTCTGCGGGTGTTGAATTCGAAAGAAATTCGCCGAGCTCCAGGGCTGGAAGTGGGGTTATTCAAGAAGGCAGGAGGTGTCAGCCTTCTCTGGGGGACCGGAAGATTCATGACCCATCGAATAGAAGTCGATCTTTCGATCGGCTGAGTGAGCTTTCCAGAAGGGCTGCTTGAGGAAAGAGCCGCTGCCTGGGCCTTTCCATTGGCGCTACTCACAGCCACGGCCGGGCTGGGAGGATAGAACGTGAACCGAGCTGAGCCAGCCTCCTGGGGATACAAGCCGACGGAAGACCAAGGATAAGGACTGTCCACTCTGGAAATGCCTTCGCCACGATACTCTTCATCGTAGCTACACTGGCTCTTGTTGTCATTAGCTCGCTTCTCGGTGCTGACGGGCTCTTTCGAGAACTTGAGGAGTAAATGCTCTCCACGGCTTCCCTCTTCATGGCTGGACTGGTTCTCTTTGTTGCCAGTCTGGTTCTTCAAGATGATAGAGTCTGCAAGATTTGGCGTGGTGAGGTCGATGCATTCGAACTTGCCACACTTATTTTCACCATGGCGAGACTGGTTTTCGTCTTCACCAGTTTGCTCCTCATTGGTGACAGGTCCTTTGGGGATCGAAATGCTGAGATCGAGGTCTTTGGCGTGATCCTTCTCATCATGGCTCAACGGAGTCGCATCCTCACCAGATCGCTTCGCTGGGATGAAAGGCTTTGCGGAGGCTGACAGTCTGATATTCAGTGATCTACCACGATTCTTTTCAACGTGGCTGAAATGGATTGTGTTTCCGCCGGTCTTCTTGTCCGGGGTAATGCCTCCCTTTGAGTCTGGCATCTTGTAACCGGCGTGTGCTTTGGCCAAAGACAATGAGCCTTGTATCTAGCCGAAGAATGGGTATTAGAAAAATGAGCACACTTATGTCTTCTTTTGAGTGAATTTACTCACCTAGTTGTTGGGTACGGCAGTATTGATGTAGAAGCGCAGATACGTCAAGGAGTATCTGAACGAGGTTGTATGGTGAGAGCGCGTCGGATTTGAACCAAGGCACCCTGAAGCAAAGGTGAATTTTCTGGTGTCGATTTGTAGAGATGAAGCGATAGCTGAAATATCAGCTGGCTCTCTGGAATTAGTGAAAGATTACAAAACCCCTTCTGTCGATGAAGAGGATGGACAGTTCAAGGGAAGTAAGAAGCTTTCGGTGTGTAGCGGTTTGAGTGAGAAAGGGTAGAGTTGGGTCAGAGATACATCGGAGAGAGGAAGGGAAGTGGGTGGGGTGTGCGGTAGGAAATATTTTGAAGGTGAAATTTCTAGGCAAGTCGGAGGAAGGTACAACGGCACACCTGTTCGGGGCAGGCACAGGCTTCTCCCGGAAGCCCCTTTCCTCTTACCACCTACCTCATACCAAATATATGCGTTCGAACGCTCCATTTCCATTGATAGAAATCGGGCTCAAGAGATGCCTGAAAACTTTTTCTCTTGAAGGCAATTCTGTTCATTCTGATGTGAGGCAATTGATGATTGATTCTACCTACGCAGTATTAGACCACCAAGGCCATTCTTTTGTCCATGAGACTCCGACCAAGTCCCTCTGATATATCATAATGTATATATCAGGCATAGAAATATTATTATGACCATCTTGGGATATCGTTGTGGCGTGGTGAGAAATACCCATCATGTACATTTGGCGATGCTTGTGGTTCAAACGCTCGGTGTGCTCGGTAAGCGCTATTGGTAGTTACTTCACCGAGCCCAGACCGATGCTGCGGGGTCACGTGTGGTTGACCGATCCATTCAGGCAGCGCCGATGAACCTCTATCCACTGCACCAGCTCTTATACATGACAAGAAGTTTGCCGTGATGAGCAGTCCCTAAACCTTGAGATCTCGAGAAAGAACACGGTAGTCGATGCATGCCAGGGATAGGATTGCCGTCCGTTCGTCATGTTGTCCATTCTGAGAAAAGCACGTCTCAAAGACAAGGAGATGCGAATCCTGATGCTGTCAGTGAGCCAAACCCCACACGGGCCGCTTTCATACTTGCTGATGCTGATTACAGAGGCCTCGATAATGCGGGAAAGACTACGATTGTCAAGAAGATTATGGGCGAAGACGTCAACACCGTAAGCCCGACATTGGGCTTCATCATCAAGACTATAGACTACGATGGGTTCGTCGGCACATCTATCCAGCCCATTATCATGCAAGAGTGCTAACCATACACTAGATACAAGCTAAACATTTGTACGTCCTCTGGCTGATGCTGAGTTTCGTTGGCGGCAAGTCTGACCAGAATAGGGGACGTGGGTGGGCAAAAGACACTACGCTCGTACTGGCGGAATTACTTTGAAAAGACAGATGCGTTGATCTGGGTCGTCGATGCCACAGATCGACTGAGAATCGAGGATTGCAGAGAGGAGCTCCACGGCCTGCTGCAAGAAGAGGTTCGTGCCAACGGCGAGGATGGGGAGGAGGACGACGACACGTGTGGAAGTGGATACGACCACGTCGGGTGCTAACTTTGGATTGACAGCGATTATCTGGAGCAAGTTTGCTCGTGTTTGCCAACAAGACCGACGTCAACGGATGCATGGACGAGCAGGAAATTCTTCAAGTTGGGTGCTCCGGGACAACCACATCTTGGACCATTACTGGGGGGAGTCGAGCTGACGTATTTCACCCAGGGGCTGCAATTGGAGGCGATTAGAACACATCGCTGGCACGTCCTGCGATGCAGTGCCATGACAGGCAGCAACCTCAAGGAAGGCCTTGCTTGGGTGGTGGACGACGCAAAGAAGAGGCTGTTCCTGTACTAGAGGCAAGCGGGGAGTTCAGGTAATCATTTGGTGGTTAGCTTTTCTTGCCAGGTCACCAGTCACCACTACGACGGTGCGGCTCCTCACTCGCTCTCGAGGCTCATCGAGCCAGCGATTCGAGGATATCCTGGCCACGTTTGTTCAGCTAGTTCCCGGGCGCGCCGTTAGGAAACTGGGAATGGCTAGGATAAAGACGGACGGGCATAGAGGCGGTCGGGTCAAAAGGGGGCATGGTGAAGCGTGTCAGAGTGTTCTGGAAGGACGGTCCCAGGAAGGGTCGGATCCGAGTGATTCTGTGACGGCTCTCGGGAGTCGGGATCGACGTCGTGCAACGGAGTGACAAGTACCTTAGATGGGATACCCAGCGTCGAGATTTGCGAAGCCACGTTGTTGAATAGGAGATCACCACTATCCGTATTAATAGCATGGGCAATATATTCTTTGAGGCTGAGAATGACGGCCGTGATGCGTCTACGAAGTACTGTCTCCGTACATGTGTGGATGTGGCCCATTGGGCGATTGCCTTTCTGCTTAAAATCGGGTCACTGCTTGGTCCGAAGATGCCCGAGAAGAAGAAATACGAAATGAGGGGACACTGACGGTAAGCCGCTATCCGTCAACGTCAGCACCGGGTTAGATTGTCTGTGATTCTTCAGAGCACTTTGAAGTATGTGCGTGTCTTTTGGGTCCGGGCTGAACTACCTAAGGTAGTCGGGCTTGGAAGGGAATTGCATTCATTACAGCAGACCGAGGAGAGAGATTGCAAGCCGTTGAAGTTTGAATACCGGGACATCCCTCCGGAAATCATGGTTTGAAACGATGTGATTGAAACGCCCCATCGGGCCAGTAAGGGCGCTTGAATGTCGAAATTTGGTGCAAGGGATCTCAGGTACGAAATATATCCATTGTGAGACAGGGGTTGCCGGTGTGGAGAAGCGAGTGGCCAATGCACGTAGCAACACCTCACCTACCTTGAGGTACGTACCCTTGTTGTTTTGGTTCCACTTTCTTTGTGTACATCCACCTGCAACTACCTTACGTAGTAGGTAGGTATTCGCACCTCGAGGTCTTCTTCGTCTACCTTACGAAGGCCAGGCCAGATGGCCGCATTAGGGAAGCTTAGCTGAGCTGAGAAGAGCTGAGTTGAAACCATTCGAGCAGCTTGCTGAAATCGTTTGAGACATTGGCAAAGAACTTCAAGTTGAAGCCCCCGCGTGTATGGGAATAATCGTGGTGAAAGTTGCACAGTTGCGCCTGTCTGTGGGCAATGGGCATATCGAAAGAAATCATTTCAAGAGACCAGCCTAGTCACCCAGCGCCCAGTGCTACCTGACGTGCAGGCTGCTATTGTTGGGGGGGCCTGTTCACCTGCCCAATTGGCAAAGGCAAGGAAGAAAAAAGAGGCAAGCCCAGACTGCCCAGCCTGGACGCGGGATGCAACTGTTCGCATCAGCACGCAGTAAGCATCCGGAAGGAGCCTTCGCAGAAACCTGCTTGCCTTCACCTCAGGTCATCTGTGTTTACTTTCGACCCTGCAGCACCTTACTTCAGTCAGGTCACCAGTCATAAACATCATCGTCCTCTTTGCATCCCGTCCAGACAGAAAGCAGGCCGCGTTCACAGCTGCTACTTGCTCACGCCGACTGCATTTCCCAGGATTGTGGTTCATGCTCCTTCGCCTCAGCCGCCGCCGTCGCCGCCCACATCAACAGAAACTCGGGTACCACACGCATTCGACAAGTTTTCAGTACACACAACTACACAATCACACAACCTAAGGTACCTTACGCCAAGTAAGAAAGGCAATTCTTCAATCCAAACAATAAAGTCGCCAGAGAGACCAGAGACCCGACTCCATTTTGTCTCCATCCACGACGCACGCCTGCCCATCCGTACCTAACCGTGGGCTACGCTACCTTGCCTTACGTCTGTGAGGCTGCTCCACTCTCGCCTTGGCCCAAGTACCTTGCTTTGGCGCCATTTGCCTAGCGGCACCCATCCAAGAGGTGACGAACCAGAGGTACCTTGCACTGCGTCCTGCGTACCTGACGGAGCACTGCGCACACCTACCTTACCTTATCCCATCCCATCCTGTCCTGTCCTGTCCTAATCCCGCCACGGACGGACCAGACACCAAAGACGAGACCGACTGAGGGAGGGAAAAAATAGACAACATATCCTTCTCCAACAAAGACCTCACTACCTTACCCGTTCGCCTTGCCACGACATACGTCCTAACCGGGGGGATTCCTGCGCATACAGAACCACCTGTTTCCATTCCTCCCCCACCCGCAACCGTGTCATGACTCTGTCCTCCGCCTCAACATGTCGGAACAAACAATGGACGACGTCTCCAAGTTTTTGCAAGATGTCAAGGAGATGAATGCTCGCCGAACCGAAGAAGACGACGCCCGCCAACGCGAACTCGACGAAAAGATACAGCAAGAGAAGAGAGAACGACAAGCTCGCCGCGCCGGTACGTCTACCTACACATCTTGCTGTCTTTCTCCTTGCTTCCCCTCTTGCCTTACTACTGCTTGTCTCTCCTCCCCTCACTCACTGCATCATCTACCTCCCACCACCGTGTCTTCCCTATTCAACAAGCTTTCTTTTCCCGACTCGGCCAAGGCACAAATCCTACTTTGCAGCTTGCCGTGTGCCATTCGTCTTGCTCGTGCTCGTGCCGTGCTATGTTCAGGTTCAGGTTGCCCTTGGCCCAAGAGCTGAGCTACTGACGGGACGGCCGCCGCACTGGGCGAGCCGCGGGCGACGCCTCAACGCCTTGACTCCCACCCCCAATAACCACCACACACGGCCTTCGTCCATTGTTTTTTCGCCTGTGACCTGAAGGGAAATCATCGACGCTCACTTTTCCTCTGCAATTGGCACTGTTCTTCTCTCCCATCTTGTTGCGCGACCGTGTTTTTCAACAAGAAGAAAATCTTTGGATCGCATTCTCTGACAACATTTGACAGAACGCGCTCGATCCATTTCCCCTCAGAAATCGTCCCCGGCCAACACCCCACCACCCTCCTCTCGAGGTAACACACACACGACGCAGCTTTCCGATGACCTAAGACTGTCTTCTCCCGGTCTCGAACACACAGGCAGCCCTCGCCCTCTCTCACGAGGCATCGCAGCTCCCGAAACCATGGACAGCTTCTCAACCTCTCCAACCAAGGAGAACGATTCCCCCTTTGACGCCGAAAGCAAGCGATCGAGCGTGACCTCTCCTACCGGCGGCGTACAAGGAGCGCGGCCGCTGTCGTGGCAGAGACGTCCCAACTCTCAGCATTCGGATCGATCCAAGAGCCGTCCCTTGTCCGTCGTTGCCGCCGAGAACGCGACCAGGACCTCGCAGAACCCAACTCCCGACCCCTCCTCCGCAACCGAGCAGACCTTCTCTAGGGACCAAATCTCCCAATCACTGGGTTCCAAAGACCCCGCGTGGTTCCGCCAAACGGCCGATCGTGCCAGCGTCGGCTCAGCTGCAAATCGCAAGAGTCAGGTTGAGGATACCGATACCAACGACATGTCCTCAATGCGCGCCCATCAGCTCCCCGGCATGAGCCGCAGCTCTTCGACAGACTTGTCTGCTGAGCAGTCTAGCCCGACGAAAGACACCAGACTGGGCTCTCCGCTGTCACTCGGCAGCTCCCAGAGACTCGACCCCCCTGCCGAGATCTCCGAGAATGATCCCACATCGCTGCGCCGAAAGTCAATCATTGGATCTGGTCGCTCGTCACCCACGCGACCTGTTTCTCCTACCAAGGGCATGGGTGGTTTCGTCCAAAGCGCAATGATGAAGAGGTCAGACAGCGTCAAGAGATGGAGTGTAACCTCTCCCCCTGGCCTCGTACGCGCCGATTCAGCTGCTTCAAGCCGGCCTGAGTCTCGCTCCCGTCCGCAGAGCATGTACATGCGGGACGGAGCTGCTACACCTACGGGGTCATCTCACTCTCGGTCTCTGTCCCGCCCCGCCTCTCGCCCTACTTCTCGACATAGCAACCAGGAACAACAAGACGAGATCGAGACTACACCAAAAGCACCTGCAGCAGCACCTCCTCCCGAAGTCAAGCCTGAGGCCAAGCCCGACGTCAAGCTCGATACCAAGCTCGATAACAAGGAGGAGGACAATAAGGATGTGACACCGCCATCAAGCCCTTCGAAGACTATGGATTCTAGGAGATGGAGCCCGACGAAGGCAAGCTGGCTGGAAACTGCACTGAACAAGCCAGAGTCTCCGAAACCTAAGCCTCCGCCGGTATCAAACCAGCCAGCTTGGATGGTGGAGCTCAACAAAGCAAAGGCTCACAAGGCTGCCAACCCCAGTGCCGACCTTGGTCGAAGCGGCTCAGTATCATCGCAGAAGCACGAAGTCAATGTCGGCGGGCTGATGCGTTCATCACCGATGGGAAGCCATGTGTCCAAGCCCTCTGTAAGTGGTCTCAAGGGTATATATGCACCTCCAGTGCAAACCCACAAGACCGGCGGCAGCATCAGCAGCCCAAGCTTTCGCACCAGCACAATCAAGAGCCCGGCAGGCGAGGACAAACCGGAAGGAGATGCTCTGCCCGTGGATATTCCAAAGCGCTCCTCGGTAACTGACAGCCCTTCTGTGGCTAAAGTCAAGCCTGAAACTCCTCCCAAGAAGGATTTCCGCGCTGGCCTGAAGTCAAGAAACGTCTCTGGCGATGCTTCTTCTTCCAAAGAGCCCGCCAACGAGTTGCAGAATGTATTTGGCAACTTGCGACGGACAAAGACGCAGAATTACGCGGCGCCAGATGAGCTGAAGAACAATATTTCGCGCGGCAAAGCGGCCTTGAACATGACCGGTGGGCCGAAGCCTAGCGAGCGCAAGGATGAGTTCAAAGATGCGATTTTGAAGAAGAAGCAGGATTTCCAGGCTGCTCAATCGCAAGGCAAAGGCGTGGTTAGAACCAAGTCCAATGCATCTGAGAACCCTGTTCCAGAAGCTCTGCTGAAAAGACATGCGTTGA